TAACTCGATCATTAACGTTACTCGAAAGCGCACAGAATGTTCTACGAACGTATGAAAATACGATTCGTTATAACCGGTGAACTGTTTAGATTGGACCCATTCAATTGTGCCGGAAACTGAGAAAAGAGACTTGTACATCGGTGTGATCGGCGAAGACCAGCTTTGGTTGGAAACGGCCGCAACATCCATCATCGAGTGAGCATTCATGAGATGTAACGCGATCTTTCGTTTCTCAACGTAGCATGGCAGTGTCGTTGAGTCTACGTGTAAGTTTTCTTCTTCTTTTAGGTCCATGGGATTGTCTTTTTACCGGTCGAGCGTGAACGAGTACAACGCGAAGGTGTTGCCACAAGAATTACAAAGAATGAAAAATTCCCGATTAATATTACTCGTCGTGCCGCAGCACTCTCGTGGCATCAGTATAATGGCATTGGCAGCTCATCTAATTGGACTGCGTGCGAAACTGGTTTTATGCGTTCAGACGCTTCCCGAAGGTTGTGTAGTTTCCGGTGAAAAGGTAAGCTTCTTTTTTTATTGGGTCGATGCAACAGTTTCGACGTTTTTTCTCCTTTTTATGAGAAATAAAAGTGACTTCTCAACTGTTATCTAGCTAAACTCAAACTAAGTAAACACGAAAAGAGAAGTTTGGAAACAGATGCTATTTGTTTCAGAGAAAAACATTTTTTTGTTAATCGCATAGGAAAACAGGTCAAAATTTTTGCATCAATCCAAACGTGTACACTTTTCTGAGTATACCTTACTCTCGATTTACGCGAAAATCCGTTACACGTGGATTCATTTTACGCGAATTAAAATCGCGTGAACAGAGTCTGTTGGTACAAGAGAAATTAAAATATTGGAAAGAAAAGTTTTATAAATACATACTTATTTCACATGGCCAAACGAAAGAAATTCGGTGTTACTAAATTCAAATCGCGCATAAAAACCACCGTGTAAATAGTGTTCTATTTTACCGCGTAAATCGAGGGTCAGGTGTATACTAACCCTTCGCACTCGAGAGGTGACTCTCAGTCACCGCTTGATTTGATGCAACAAAATTATAAAATTGAATATTTAATATTTTGAAATAAACTTTGTATTGCCATAGGAAATATTTAAATAAAATAGCTCTGTCGCTCAATTTATCTGTGGATTATCGTTAAATTAGTTTCAAACAATGTCAGCTATATCTCGTCGAAAAATGTTGAATATTTTCAATGAAAAACTTTCGAGTGTAAAGGGTTAATCTTTCTTATTGACTTATTGACTACTTCTTCCAAGCCTTCCACGTTTTCTATATGAAATATTAATTTGTTATTTAGCTAACCGAACAAGCCACAAAAGACTACAACCGGGGAAGAATGTACCTGTCAGACTACGCGACGCGCGAAGGTGTACCTGTCTTTCAGAAAATTGCAGAAGCTCTGCAACACGCGATACAGCTAGTTCAAACCGTTCGTTGACTATCTTTTTTCCCTTTCCCCTCTTTATCTTCTCTACTCCCCTCCGCCCACCCTTCCTTCCCGTCTCCCCGTCGTACTCCTATTTTTTCTTATTCTTCTTTTTCATCTTCGACTTTTTTCTATCTCTTTGTCATAAGTGTAAGCTTTGCGATTCATCGATTAATTTATTTTTACACTTAGTAACGTTCAACTACCGATCGAGATCCGGAAGAGAAAGAAAAGCGTCGGCCTTGTTACTCAGATATCAGGTAAAATGTGACAACCTCCAGGGACTAGTTGCGATATATACTCACACATACGCGCGCGTATGTATACGCTAATCGAAAGGTTAGATAGAAATTGCGTCTAATTTTTGCTCGCAATTTGCTCGTCCGTTCGGTGAAGCTGGAAAGCTTTTATTGGGTCGCGTACGACTTTTTTTTGAAAATTCTAGTACAATGTCTCACGGTAATTGAACACATTTTTTTATAGCGATTGAACTTGGTAATTTTGTAACCTTTTGGTAACTACTACTGGTTGAGGATTGATACACATGTATTGTACATAGATTACTAGTTGTTTTTAACGATCTAATGATAAATAATTTGAAATTTGGTAAACAAAAAAAAAAGAATGTAATTTGGGTATGCGTGCAAGATATTTTGTCGCATTGAGAGTGCATGTCGGTGTATGCGTGCGTTCGTGCGTTCGTGCGTTCGTGCGCGCGTGCGTGAATGTCTGCCTGCTCGCCTGCCTGCCTGCCTGTCTGCCTGCCTGCTTGCTCGCGCGAATGTGTACAGAGAGACGAGACATACGTGTACCTGTACGAACAAACATCTTATTTAGCGCTAACCAATGGTGTTGTACACCGTG